GAGCCCTTGTTGAGGAGCGGTGGCGGCGGCAGCGACCGCGACTCGTCGGGCAGGAACGCCATGGCTGCCGCCCGCCGAAGGTGACTGGGGGGAGCGGTGCGGCGGCTGCGCCTTCCCCCGCCGGCCAGCGCCGCGCTCCCGCGTTCCGCTGCCTTCCTCGCCTATGGTTGTCTTACCAGAAAACCCATCCCAAAATCCAACTCCCGACCCCACAAACCCATCGCCCGCCCCGAACTCCCTGGCTGAGCGGCCTTAGCCGCGTCAGGGAGGGGGTTCCTGCAGCCCTAACCCACTGGGTGAGGCGGCCCTGCTGCAGGGCCAGCGAGGAAAGGAAAGCAGCCAGGTCGGGAAGTAAATTAGGGGGTTAATTAAGCACTAAAATCGAACCCAATTAATTTTCAGAGCTGAGATTAAAGATTGAGACCTAACCCATAGTGTTAGCTTTTTTGTTTTTAATTAATACGAAATCACATTAAATCACTCGCCCCTCTAGCAGGATTGATGGAACTATTAAAGAAGCCTGCATTAACAAAACACATCATAGGTTTTAAGAGCTTCTCAGCTCTTTCCTAAAAATGTATTTAGCCTTTGCCCATGAGAGGAAAGCTAATGCCTTTACAAACAGTTTGATGGGTGAAGGTATGGGTGTTGTTTTTGAAATGGGTTTTAGTGTCTCTACTGACTTAGGGCAGCAGAGCCCAGAGAACGCTGCCCCTGAAACAGAAGTCTGCACAAGCCTGAACTTCTCGGGGAGAACAGTAGGTTCAAGGGGGGAATATGTGCTAGGCCATTCAGGAAGGCTGCACCTTCCCAGTGCCTCAGCAGTGGGGAAAGGAAGAGGGCAACATGTGGACAGCAGCTTGGGATCAGAGGCTGCACCCTCCAAAACCTCGAGAGAGAAAACTCTGCAGGTGTGTGCCCCAGTGGGCTCTCCCTTTATTCAGATAAAGCTGAAGGACTCCCCTACTTCTTTTTGGACATAAACCTTTGGCATTTGTGGGTCTTCCTGACATCCACACAGGAGGAGGTTGGGCAATCACTGCTCTGCAGTGGGAGATACTTCAGTTGAACCTGGGATCGTACAATGCCGATGCACGGCCACTTCCACAGTCATGCCCTGAGTTTAACTTCACAGAATCATGGAATGGTTTGGGTTGGAAGGGACCTAAATGGTCATCTGCTTCCAACACACTGCCACAGGTAGGGAGAGCTTCCACTAGACCAGGTTCCTCTATCCAACCATTTCCAGGGCTGGCACACTCATGCTTTGCTGCACAACCTCTTGGAAGATTTCACAATGTGCAAAGGCTCAGCTGGAGAAGAGCGAAGAGGAGTGTTTGTAGGGTTTTTTTGCATATTAGCATTTCCCTACACAGGACAGCACAGCAGACAGATATACACAAGCATTGTGGATGACTCACCCTGAGCAGAGGGTTGAGTTTGAGGCTTGGAGTTGAGATACAAGTGCAATCATTGTGGACCACTGACAGCCACAGCAGCTAAAAACATGGCAAAGCCCTTAGTGGTGTAAAAATAGCAGAAACTATGAGAAAAGAATGAAAACCAGAGAGAGAATGTCTTGAATATGAACTCACTGGCAGTGAAAACTATAAATGTACAAAGTACTTGGTTACAGAAACATCCACAGTGGTTAATCTACCTGCTGCCCTAAGAAGAGCCACTCTATTTTAAACACCCCGAATATTCAAAGAACTCAAAAAGCGTAACTATCCCTTCAGCTACCCTTGATGAAGGGGTCCCATTCTTCAGCTAACATGTAAGAAATTTCAAAAACTACTGTAAAAAATAGTAATAGAATTACTAAAAAAATGCATCCCTCTGTCCTCACAGTTTTACGTCAGCACTGGAATCCAAACCACATTCCAACCTCAGAGCAACAGCTTCCAGGGATGTTATGTAGGATTTAAAAGGTATAATTACTTATTGCAGAAATAGCTGCTATCCATTGGGGAACATGAATCCACAGGCAGACAACAATCTACCTTTTCCTTAAGTCATTACAGGAACTGTGGACACTTGGTCTTTTGTTAAGTGTTGTGCAATTTTACATTAATTACAAATACAGCTATGTAGCCACATCATCTGGTACATTTAATGGTGTTAAAATACTTACTTGAATAGCATGCCTCAATTTGGTCATCTGGTATAAAAAAAAGAACTACTAGAAGAATATTAAAACCTATTTGCAAAGTATCTATGAAACAAGGAGAAAAACAGGACATGGACATATTAAAACTTGGTATTTGAGTGTGCACGAGTTTGACAAAGCACCTCAGGACAACTTTCCAGCTACACACTACGTCCTTGGTTGTATGGGTGTCCCTCAAAACCAGGGTTTAGACAGCAGCTGAAATAATGCAAGAAACGCTTAAACAAAAAATACCAAGTTTTTAATTTACAAATTCCATAGAACACAGTTACAATGCTCTCCTATACAGCAATCATCCCTCGTAATTTGCCACAGCAACTTCTATTCAAATACAAAACATAATGGGAAAATCAGGCAGGTTTTCCTCAGGACAGAAGTCTGGACCTTGTTCAGCTTCACAGTTTACCTGCAGCCCTCCCTGTCACCGTGACAGTGCTTCTGATCAGAGGTATCCTTGTTGGGCAGTACAGGAGTGTTGAAAGAAGAGCTCCCGCGTGGTGATGGCACATGTACACTGTGTCTCATCATGGATGGCCTTGTGACAACCCCTTACCATGCCAAGAATCCCCTCCACGGGGTATCCTGGGACTGGTCCCAGCACTGTGGCTTTACTCAGCCTTTTGTCTGACAGAAATTCTCTCAGTCAAGACAGAGATGTAGAGTTTCAGCCAAGCGTATGTGATTCCCAGAGCACAGTACACAGAGGTCAGCAACAGGGGGACAAAAGGGAAGTGCTGTTTCCAGGGGGTCAGGGGAAATATGATTTCACAGAAGATTTCCAAGGGCACTAGTTGGATGAGGTAGATTGTTTCAAGCCAGTTAAGCAGAGGTTTCTCTCTCCTGTCAGAGAAATTAAAAAAGAGATACTGTTAAAATATATGTTAACTTAAAATAACTATTTTGTTTTTCAGCTATTCCGGTGTGAAAAGGATCTCCCATTAGATTGCAATAATGATTTAAATAACAAGTTAAGGAGTTTCAGTAGCAAAAAAACACAGTGTGATAGCCAAGAGTACAGCTCAATGTCCTTATCAAGTTCCAGGGTGCCTTGGAAGCCTAAGGAGAAACCTCATCAATTGCTCTGCTTCCCCTCACTCTATTTCAGTGAACAACTGAACAGCCCTCCATACAAAGACTTGTTCCACCAAAGTTGTTCTGTAACCAAAGACTAGAAATGTCAATTTTTTTAACCTACTCCCCCCCCAAGCTTTCTGTAGGATGGACTTTTCTGTGAGCTGATCTCTCTTGCAAAGGACACTGATGGCAGGAGTTTACTACAGGTAGTTTAAAGAGAATTTCATGTTTTGGCAAGTTAATAACAAGAAAACTGCAAAAGCTCACTCTCTTAACAAAAATTAAGCTCCTATGGAATTTTTTAGCTAGAGCTCTTGAGACAGAATGACTGAAGTCTTAAATTTAGAAAATCATCTACAAAAAGCATGTGCCTGAAGTACTGAATACACATTTGCAGTACTTCATTACAAACCATTAATTACAGCTTGGGTTTGCCCTGTAAGGTTTGGGAAAGAGGCAGGTGAGGACTGCAGGGGTTATAAGGATAAGCACTATCTTTGGCCAAGTGGTAAGACATCCACAGGCTGTGAAACTTCACAGGATGACTTTGGCAATTGTATGTTCTGCCAAGTACTTGTGGTTTTGTTGACAAATTACAGTTTGCAAGTGAGCATTATTTACAACCCGTCCCTTCCACATATTAGAATCCTGTTACTGCAAAAATCCACAGAACAATTTCAGATAAACAATCTGCAGACAAATCGGTAGTAAATGCTAAAACACCAAATTAAATCCTTAGAGGTTGCAGCATCACAACTCCATGCTTTAACAGTGCATGAGACCAGTGGGGATCTACAGCCTTCTGGGACTAACTGGGCAGCTGTCACAATAACCAGGATGTGCTGCAATAGTCCTAATTTAAGCACTGCCTCCTGAGAACAGAGGCAGCAGCATCTTTTGACTAGTAACACCTTAATTTGACTCTTCAGCATCAGTTTTCTCTGCTGTTTGTCCCTTGTGACAATGGCTGTTCCCAACACCAGAAGAAACGTTGCTGTTCCTGGCACCGAGATAAATTTCTTTAATTACCTGAATAGAGATTTCAGTGAAGAGAAGCTATAAACAGTAAACAGCAGCATAAGCAGTATTTTAATTGGAAGTTCTGAAAAACAAAGAACATGATGTACTTTTAAAATTCATTATAAAAAGCTTTTGCCATATATATTGCAGTATCTTTAAATCTTACTAGTCACATTTGTATTATCTGGCTTTATTTTCTCCAGACCTACATGTTTTACTGCTTAGGATACCTAAAAATAAACACAAGCATTTACTAAAGCAAATGCCAAGCATTTGCAATACACTTACTTCAATTATCAAAATAAACATTTTGAACACATAAATTATAATAACTATTTGAGATAGTAATTATATTTTATATATATTATTTGAGATAGCACTACAGATAAGATTTTCCTTTTCTAAAGGAATCACAAACAACTAGGAAGTAAGTAAAGCAAAAATGACAACCAAATCAAGACTACTGATCTCTATGTTGCAAACTAGATAAAAATTAACTAATAGAAGAATATTTTACCTGGTGGTGTGAACAGCAATGGAAAAAGTGAGAAATGCCCTGTTGTTGCCAGAATCAAGTAGATGCCAGCATCCTTGACTTTCTGAATAGACAATAAGCTAAAACCAGCAATAATTTGTTATGCTTTTGTCTTTTAGCCAAGAAACCTAATTTCAGCAGAACAATATACAATTCACTGAAGATGGAAGAACAAGTCAAACAGTTTCATAGTACCCCCATCCCTGCTAACACTGGACCTGTGATGAAGTCTCCTGTTTCCAAACCATGTGGCCTCAGAGATAAAAACACAGGAGAACAATCAGCCAGGAAA